ATATCTATATCTATATCTATATCTATATCTATATCTATATCTATATCTATCCAGCAGGCCTGGGGGTAGGCTTGCAATTACCCGCCCGAGTGTTTGATTGCTGAATGAAAGTTGTGTTTTATTATTTTTCTTTTGTTCACAAAGTGTTTGTTTTGACCTTGCACTTCCCCTCCCCTGTGGTTGTAAGCCACCCTGAGTCCCCTCAGGGAAAAGGGCGGCATATAAATCCCAATAAACCTAAACCTAAACCTAAACCTAAAGCTGCCAAGCACCTGAATTTTGATCACAATTCCTGGGTTGCTGCAATGGCTGTAATTTCAGGGATAGGTCATAAGTCCCTTCATTTAGCACCACTGTAAATTCATGTGGTCCCTGAACAAATGGTTGTAAGTTGAGAATTATCTGTAAATTAATAAGACAAATCAGATACAGTATTTCACTTGAATTACTTTAAGTTCAGTGAAAATTAAGTACAACTAACAGTCTGGATCCAAAGTAATTCAAAGATGTTTTCTGGCTACCTTTAAAAAGGTCCGCACTTATGTAATTTCATTGATACAAATTAAAAGAAATAGAGATTGGTGGCACAGGTGTCCAGTACCCCTTCTCTCTGCACATTCTTGGATTACAACTCACATTCTCCAACTATTAGCCTATGTTGCTCTGAGCTGCTGAAGATCATTTTGAATTATGTCATATTACGGAAAGGACAGTACCCTTGGCACTGGAAGAAAAAAATATGGATATAATTTGTTTCATATTGCAAGGAAAAATTATTTCAAAAATCTAGTTACCGGGTAATGATGCTAAGCTGATAGTTAATTGTTTTTGTTTTCTCCAAGGCACACAGCAGTTCAGCTGCACATCTTTCATCTAAGCAATCCTTTGAAATTCTGACAGCAAATTTCACCAGTGCTTCCCCTCCAGCAATAACTTGAATAGCAGTGGCAATGACTCCTTCTTTCGTCTAAACAAAAAGCAGTTATAAAAAAAACAGGAGTGAATGAACATTATCTAACTCTCCATTAATACATTTCTATTCTTCATCTGAAGAACTCGGGCCAATGGCCTGAAGCTAGTTTATGCAGCTGATATACTCCAACAGTACCTCTCTGATCATGTGGCCAAGATAATTGCATTTCTCTGACATTAATGCTAACAAGAAAAGGTTTCTTTAGATATATTCAAAATAAAAGTCTTAGTATGTCAATTACTCAATGAAGACATCAAAATGTTAACAGAAAAAATAGGAACAATGGAATTATTTAGTTCCTATTCATGCTCAGTGTTCCACTATGAAGTTTGAAAAACAGAATTACAAGGTAGAACTGAAGCTTGAGATTGACAGAACATATGATGAGCATAAAGCTGAAGCAACATGACTAGTGGTCTAACCTTTCCCCCACCAACTGGGAAATAAAATCAAATTCAAGATAAATGATAAACCCTAACTAATTAAAAATAATAACAGCTACAGGCTAGATCAGTGTTTCTTATAGTGGTCCACAACGTTTCTTAGAATATCTCAGAGGTCCACAAAATCAAAATTATTTGCCAGATTGTGAAGATATTTACAAAGATTTAAAGTATTTTCAAAATAAACTAGAAATAGAAATATGAGTCATTATGAGCTTTATTAAAAATATATGCTTTTTCATGAAAAATATGTTGTTTATGTCAATATCTAATGAGTTTAATATGAATATGAACATGAGTTTAATATTGAATCATGTTTACATGATTCAATAAGTAGGTTTTCTACAAATGCATCTATTCTAATTTTAATATAGTAAATATCAATAAATACATTCCATAAAAACAAACACTTTTGGGATTCTTCGTAATATTTAAAAGTGGGAAGGAGCTCAGACATCCAAAAATGTAAGAAACCCTGGGATAAATAAAGCTCAGTTGGAAAAGCAATACACAGAATGCTTTTGGCGCACCAGAGGAAGGTGCTGGTATATCATATTTAGTGATCCTGTGAAAGAAACAGCCCACAAGAAATTAATGAACTGTAAGCAAATATTGAACACAATTTGACATTACAGAGAGTACCTTATTTGAACAGAAAAACAGGAAGAAGAGGAAATGAAGTTTTTAACACATCTTTTGAAAAAATAAATAAAAAGTTTAACCTAGAGTCAGAGCCATCCAATAAGTTCCATGGCTGAGACACAGATCTGAAAGTCTGAAAGTCTACCCATAATCCAATGCTTCAATCTTATGTCTGAGTTCAGTGTTCCAGCAGGCTAGCATTTATCCTCTCTCAAACATTTTGCTTCATTTACATAAAAGTAAAGACGTCTTCAGGTTCAGCTTGACTCCTGCTGATTACATGGACACATCCATGCTGTTTTTGTAATACAGTAATATGGAGGTGATCTGCCATAGCTTTTTTCCAGGAATATTTTGTTTTAATTTCTGCTTTAGCCTACTGCTTTGGAATTCCCTGCTGATTTCCATTTATATATGAACAAGGAATGTTCAATTTGCAAGAGGAGCTACTCTAGCAGAATTTTAAAAATATTTTTGTCCTGAAATAAAAATAAAATCATTATCCCCAACAGGTTTTCTTTCATGCAAAACTGTTGGAGAGGAAATACCATGATTGGCCCTTTCCTTTTTAGAAACTGGGCCATGTATGACACTTGAATTCTAATTTCCTCGATTATTTGTGGAATAAGACAGCCATGGTTCTCCGAGTCTCCCAGTGAGGAAGTTGGACTGGATCTCAAACTGTATTCAGGATGACTAGGCTGGAAATCATTTGGAAGATCTTCCCAATACTGTAGAAATAACAAAAAAAAATTACTTATCTCTCAAGCTCCAGGATGTTCATATTCTTACAAAAATATTTATGCTATGATGTAACCTACCACCACAACCAACCTCCAGAAATTATGGTGGCAAGTCTGCCATTTGGCCATGCTGCCTGAAAACCACTAATGTTATCAGAATTGTGAGGTCCCAAGCAAAGACTTGAAGACATAATGTGTCCACTCAATGCTTCTCCTCCCTAGTTTCATTGCTGAACTCCAGCAAAATAAGTGCAATGGTGGCTGTGCAACTGCTTGAAGACCTTGGATGATTATCAGGATCCTTCTCAGTCAGTTAGAATCCAGAATGGAATGGAAAGGGCATTGGTAGCACTTTGGGATGATCTCTGGCATGGTCAAGATAGTGGCTGTATGGCCATTCTTGCCTTATTTGATCTGTCAGCAGCTTTCAATATTATCAACCCTTGTACCGTACCCTTCTGGATCAATTCAAGGGATTGGTGTTGGGTTGTCTCTTTCTCCAGAATCAATTCCAGTCAGTGGCAATTGCGGGGGGGGGGGGGGGGAGATTCTACCCCGGATGAAACTGTGTAGGGTGTTGCAGGGTTCAAGCTCTCACCTCCCCTATTTAACATCTATAGGAAACCATTGGGTGAAATCATACATTGCCATGAGCTGAGGCATTATCTTTATGCTGATGATACCCACTTACACCTCTCTTCCCCAGGCAAATTAAGCAATGCAGTGGACCTCTTATCCCAGCATCAAGAGACTAGAGGCTCTGGATGGGGAACAGCAGGCTTCAACTGAACCCTGGCAAGGGTAGCCCTCTGGGTCTAGGACTATACATCTTTGGTACTGGTTGGAGTTGCACTGCGTCAAACAGACCCTGTGCACAATCTGGAGACTCCTGCTCGATTAGCAAGTGGTAGTATAGAGAGGGAGCCTTTGAACAACTTCATATTGTGTTCCAGCTGTGCTTGATCCTAGATCAAAGGGCACTACTCATGGTTAAGTCTTGCCCTGGTCACCTTCTGCTTGGGCTACTTCAATGTGTTCTACCTGGGGCTGCCTTTGAAAAATATCAGGAAACTTCTGCTTCTGCAAAATTCAGCAGTGTGAGGAGTTATGTATTTCATGCAGAACACACATTACACCTCTGGCTTTGTGAATTGCATTGATTATCAATTTGTTTCCAAACCCAATTCAATGTGCTGATGTTGACCTTTAAAGCCCTTCATGACATGGGTTTGAGGGATTATCTCTCTCCGACTTACTCTGCCCGTTCCACCAAATCAAGCAAAGAGGACATCTTATGGGTTCTGTCACCTAGGGAGCTAAAATGTAGCCCCCTAGATGACAGAGTGACTGGCCTTCTCTGTAGTGACGCATGCACTGTGGAATCTTCTCCCTCTGAAGAGAGCATGGTCTTCTCTTTTCTGAGTTTCTGAAGATCCCTCAAGATTCGGTTGTGTCAGCAGGCTGGAGAGCCCCAAGGGACTGGTGAGCTAAAATGGTGAACATGATTTTAAAAGGGCTGAAAATTCTGCTCCAGGCCACTGTAACAATATCAGTGTCATTGCTAGGCCCGTGTCTCTCAACATTCCACAAATATTATTAAAAACATCAGCATCCACTATTAAACGTAATGATTCAAAATAGTGAAAAGCACATTGCGACCTGACCATGTAAAACCTGCTGTCCTATAACTGTGTCCTAATACTGGACACAAGGTCACACTTTCTATATGGCTATAATTTAAAACATATGTAAGTCTTTTGTGCTTTAGGAGGAGGTCAATATTACCATGGTAATTTTGTCACTGGCAGAAAAAAATCCTTCTCCAGCCTTGATGGCTTTGTGTCCTGGGGACGGGGTGTTCTGATGCTGCGTGCAATCTTCTTTCTTCAACGAGGAAGGCTGGATGGAATAAATATGTTCCTCATCATTTTGTAAGCACCTTCTAACGACTTGCAGAACTGTTTCACTGATGCCCTTCGTGGACTGAAGCTGTCTCACAAGGTACCCAGCTTTGGCAGACCACTCATACAGAAGACTATCTACCAGATGATGACGCTGGTCTAGTTGGCTGTGGAATTGTCCAACTAGTCCCATAATTTCATCCGTAAGGAGGAGAAGATTCTCTGTAGTGGCGAGTAAATTCTCTTTCGGCTTTAGAAATTTGGATGGCTCCTCCAGTGCATCCCGGATGACTTTGTCCACGTTTTGGATATTTGCTTTGAGGAAGGCTGCCTTTCTTCCAAAGGTCTCCTTTGGGATGAGGTCACTGTTACTTCCAGTGCCATGTGATATAAATTGGCTTAATCTGACAACACTCTGGATGCTGCTCAAGTATTCTCCATTGAGTCCATTCAATTGAAGCAAGACGGCTTTGGTTGTTAGAGCAAGTTTTCTTTGGAGAACCTCAAACTGAACCAATACACTGGGAGCAGCTATTGGAGAGACTGCCAGAGCATTTGCAACTTGAAGCAGAGATTCTGTCAATATTTTGATCTGTTCTGTTTGAGATGGGATCTCATGCTCAATACTTTGTCTAGCACATAACATAATTGACAACTTAGCAGCTTCCTGTATTCTAACAGAATTTTCAGATACTGTTGTCAGCGTGCTCTGCAAGCAAAGCCGGTATTTCATTTTAGTTTGTAACTCTTTTAAGGCCAATACATCTCTTCCTATAAACTGATCTACAATATTTAACAATGCTTGGATGGTAACAGACCACAGAATGCAACTTGCATCCAATCTGTCCTGTTTAGCGAAATCAGGGTGAGATTTACTAATATCCTGTGCTTTTTCAAGGAGGTATTTTGTTCTAGTTTGTACACAAGTGAACTTAGTTTGAACTCGCAGGAAAATTTCCCGAAGGCTGGAACACTCGGGGACCAATTTTCTGTCATCTGAATGGACCACTTTGCTAATTAACTGAACCAGCGTCTCTAAAATCTCCATGATCTCATCGAAACTTTGGATTTCATCATGAGAACTACATGGAGGCATAAAGCCAATTAACTGCCTTGCCAGCCTGTACCAAGAACTTACAACAAAAGTCAGACTGTGCTTTGTCTCGTCAATCTTCTCAGAAAGCAAAATAGCTGTTTGCAGCAGTTGCTCTGAATTGAGAACAGGGTTTACCTCTACTTCTCTAGCTAATCCAATAAAATGAGGGATTAACCCCACTATTTCTTTATAATGCAATAGTTTATCAGACATAGGTGACTCAACAATCTGTAAGGCTTCTTTGGCTGCATCAATACAACAGTTAGCAAGCTCCAGCAAATCAGCACAAGTATCATTCAGGCGTATAGCATCATGTATACTTGTTGCTATTGTCAGCTCTCTAATCAGTGGGTGTAAATCAACTCTTCTGACTGCATCTTTCTGGTATATAATATTTCTTCTGGGAAATTTTGGAGGAGGACAATAGGATGGTTTAAATTTGTCCAAAGAGCCAACCAGCAATTCTGCATTATCTGAACTATTTTGTTTTATGAAACTTTGTGTACTAAATTCCATAGGATCCTGTGAAGTAAGGGCATTTGGAATATCTATGGAAATATTGAAATCATGGACACCATCCCGAAGTGGACTAAGAATATCTGGCTGATTACATTCATCTAGCCCCTTTTGGACATTACAAGCAAACTCTATCAATTCCCTTGTCCTCTTTGAATATTCTTCTTTAGCTTGCAGACTGGTCATTCTTGCCATACACCAATTTATGCTAAGTTCTGCCTGTGTTATGGCATTTTTCAGTTGTTTAATTAAAACCAAGAGCCCATTCCGGAAAATGGGATCTCTGGCTTGGGCCCCAAACCTACTAGTAAACTCAACTATCTGTGTTGCTTGTCTGCACAATCTAGACGTGTGCCAAAAAAAATGTTTGAAGTGCTGCATATCTAAAGCTTTTTCACTTGCCTCTTTGTGTCTCACCATCTCTTGAACAGATGCATCAAGGAATTCATGCAAATCAAGTATTTTGTCCAAACACATCATCAAACTTTCTGCTGTGCTTGACCATATTTGAGACAAGAAGTTTAATTTTTTAGACACATCACCATTTCCTGGAAAAAGGCTCAGTTCACTCAGGAGACCAGGCACTGTGGCAAGAAGTCTATTAAATTGGTCTATACACTGTTCAATATCTTCAACAGTTTCCCTTTCAGTGCATGTAACAAGAATCAAATTGGCTGCTTTAAGCATCTGCGTGGAATGGCTGAAGAATGTGGTAATCAAAGGTTTCAATTTTCTTAGGCGGCCTTCCTTTCCAACATGAGAACATGGCTCCACAGCAGCTTCTATCAGTCTCCTCATGGGGCCTTTAATGTCAACCAAACTATCCAAAATCTGATAGATAACAGCAGAACCTATTACTTGATTAAGATGTTCCAGTTCGGTTTTCATGGCAAAACATTCCTCTTTTATATTTTCTTTTGGAAAGCCATTAAATGTGCTTTCATCCACGACAATCACTTTTCTGAATTTCAGTAAATGACGGCAAAGTTGAATTAGCTCTTGCTTTAGAGTTGCTCTTGATGAATCAGCAAACAGCATGCAATAGAAAATTAGAACTTCTACAGGTAAGTTTAATTTATCTTCACGTAGATGAATTGGCTGTGGGCTAGACACAAGGCCTAGAAATTGATGCAAATGCTGGGGGAAAAGGCCATACCTTTCATGCAATTTTTTTGTTCTTCCTATGCTGCTCTTCAACAAGGATATCAATATTTTTACACTATTTTTTGCTAAATCAAAAATATAATTTTTTGAGAGGTTCATTTGCTGCTCCTGGGGATACTGAAGCTGGCTGACTTTTGCTGTGAACAACATAGGGATGCTGTTTTTAAGGGTCTGCAGGGTTTGAGCTAAATGTTTCCGCTGCAAAGATTCTTTAAGATCCCAAAGGAGTTTTTCCATCAGATTGGTGAGTAACAGGAGAGCCTCTGAAAAGGGGCGAGAAGCACTTAGCACCGCTGATACATCTTTAGCAGAGTCCAGCATCAGCAGGCAATCAAATAGCCAACGAGCAGCTTGGATTATCCGCCTGATGGTAGAATCCTCTTGTGCCCAGAGAACCTTGTAAATCAAAATTTAAAATATAATACTAACGTCAGCAATTGTTAAGAGAAGTCTCATTTTACAGCAGTCAAGATCATTTCCATAATTTATTTGGCAAAAGTTATTTGGCAATCTTAACAACAGTGTCATATGGGGGCCTTTCTCCCCAGTTAAGTTAAAATGCCATCAACCTATCTTTGATTTGCTGCCCCCATTGTCAATTCCTATCCTGCATCTAATTCTAAAGATGCAATATATGTTAGGCAAAGTGATTGGTTGATTCTACCATTCATCACATCACCACCAAGTGGAAAACACATCTGCCTTCTATAGTCCATAGTCCAGTGGGAATGAGGCAAATCTAGCTATAGGACTGTACAGCTTCGCTAGGCATCTTCCTGGCTCCTCTTCTTTGTCCATACTATTCTGCTATAATTCTAGTTGAACAAAGATTAGAAAAACCACGAGTCATGAAGGAAGCCTAGTCACTGTTATTTATGATTTCTCTCCCCTTCCTTTTCATCCATTATTTAATTACAAAATACTTACTTCCCAATACCTCCTTGCTCTGTTTAGGAGGCATTTGGGGGTGGGGGGAGGAAATGCCCTATTATTATGCTATTTCACCTTGTGAAAGAGCAATAGAATTAAAACACTTAGGAGTATAAGCAGCCTATTGCACAATTCTGATAAACCACAATCTAACTTTACATGCTGCCAATTGCTTCCATCTTTCTGTAGACAATGTAAAATGCTGACATGCCTATAACATATTTGTAGTATAATAAACTGGAGGTTTCTCTGAAGGACATATTTTCAGACAAGACCAATCATCCCTTTCTGTAGTGCATTTAAAACAGATAATAAGCTGTCTTGTTAATATGATTAGAAAGAATCTGAAAACTTACTATTATGCAGTAAAGAATTAGCAATATACAACTAGAACTACTTTCTCTGTACATATTATATAGTCCACTAGGACTATCAATCCCACTAAACAAACCAGACTAAGAAATCAACTCCATAAGTATAAATATAATCTTTATTGCCATTGTACTTAAAAACAACGAAAGTGGTTGTATGAGAAGTCTAAAACTACTTTTAATGAAATCAGCCATAAAGACAGAAACTTACAAGTCTGGTTCTGCTATACCTCTTATTCCTTTTTATGCTTCAGTGAATTAGGGAGGTATCTGAGCCACTTCCAAACAAAATCTCCATTGTGGACTTAAACTATGTTTCATGCCCTCATTGCCCTGGCAACTGATCTTGCATATCTCTATCAAGGTCATCTTCCTCACTCTCTATAATTGATATTACTAGTAATAAAAAATGGCTGCACTGCCACATCAGTAAGATCTTTGTTGCATGGAGATAATTATTGTTATAATTAGAATGACCTCCTAGATTCTCCTTCTACTCCATAATTCTTTTCTCACCCCTCAAATTGAGATAACAAAATGAGGCTCCTAAGATAATCCTCTTGATAGCCAAGCATTTTCTACTCATGTATTTTAGTAGTAGCTACTCATAAGAAAGAGGTACAAATCAATTATTTGTTTTCTTGTTGGGGTGGAATGTACTGGCAGAACACAACTGTATCATCATTTTAAAATGACTACAGATCTAGCCATCCTTAAAGGCATATAGATAGTTAAACCTTGGGCAGCCTATATGTATCTGAGATTTTGCCGTTTGCAGAAACTTAAATACCCATTGTGGGACATAGGAGTATAAAGAGTATAGAAAAATTGAGCCATGCTCTATTTTTCATTCCTATCAAAAACCTCAGAAGCAACCAGATAGAAGGCAAGGAAGATCTTACTTTAGCAACAAGCTTTCATAAATGCTCTGCATATATCTGACTAGCTGCTATGCCAAACATGCCAAACTATGCTTCAATAGATAGGAATAAATTTAGTGTACTTTTATGGTTCCCACAAGTATCCTTTTTGCAGAAACAGCCAATTCTTCTACAGAACTACAAGCATTGGGTTGAATGATAAGCTTCTGAACAGCAAGAAGGATGTTTTTCCCTGATATCAGGAGAGTTTGAGTTGCAGGCACCATCTCCTTCTCAAGGACCTCATCATCAGATTCTTCAGCCAGCCTGGAATGGGACAAAAGATGTGGCTCTTAGTTCAGTTAATGGAAGCAGGAACTATAAACAAAATCAGTCTTTGAGGTCACGCACATATCCTACACGTAGCATTGTTCTACACAGCTTCTTTTTGAGTCGCAAATCTACATTTCCTTCCTATAATGTATAAATTACTTGATGGTTAGCTTGAGTCTAAAATTCACAATTAAATAGCTTATATTTTAAAATAAATATTACCTTCTAGCAATACAGCCAAGTTCTTCTGTAGCTTTTACTAATTCTTCTGCAGTTGTCTCTAAATTGGCAAAAGCTTCATGGGTAATTTCTCTCTGCTCAATTGCTATTATTAAATTGTAAAGTTCAGCAATCATGGGCAAAATAATTCTATGCGTGGATTTGGTATAAACAATAGCACTGATGTCATACAGGGAAAAGCATTCTACTGCTTCTGTTTTGGAAATAAAAGACACAATTATCTGAGTTATATTTATTAGATAAATATATTTAAATATTATGATACATGAATTATAAAGTTCTGAAGGATATTTCTGAAGCGAATTCTTATAAAAAACCATAAGCAAGTCTACACTTTTTGTATCAGATCTCCACAGATATCTCAATTTTAGTCAACTCTTATTTTTAAACATCTTAATTGTTTGTTTGATGCTACTGGCATTTCTGCCAACAGTGTTGAGGGTGGAAAATTTGAAGAGAATTTTTCACAAGGACTGTTAAAACCAAGTTGTCCAAATTTTCTTTTCAAATTTATATTTTTCAAAATATAAGAGGCACCAGAGTATAAGACACACCAAAATTCTGAAGAGGTAAATTTTAAAAAAAGTTTTTGCCCTCCCCAATCCCCAGGAGCACTCTACAAGCCTCCCAAACCCTCTGCACGTCCATTTTTGTGAAAAACGAGATGTGCAGGGCAGGGTTTCGGGAACCCCAAAATGCTGTATTCATATAAGACGCACCCAGATTTTCATCCTCTTGGCGGGGGGGGGGGGGGAGGTGTGTCTTACACTCCGAAAAATACTGCAAAGCCATTCAAAACAAATCAAATTGACAGTAGCAGGCATGTTAAAAAGTTCATATTCTTGTTTATCCAATCTCAAAACACTTTCTAAAAAGAATGAATTGTTTTTGCACTACAGATAAGGTGAGCAGATAGCACCTTTTGGCTACATAAGCAATATCACTCACATAAGAACATAATGAAGTGAAAGAGTTAATAAAACATGTAGTGTTATTTACTATACTCTAGCTAACAAACACTATCAATAAAAGTGTAAACATTTTTTAAATGAAACAGCTGAAATTATATACTTTTATTGCTTTCTTCAAATGTGTGTGTGTCTCTACACACACATATGGTTTTAACATTGCTTATCACACAAGTCTTAGCAATTATTTCTTAGGATCATCTTCAATATTCTCCATTTGCCAAACATTTTAAAATCTAATTATACATATCGAATTAAACATGTCCTAGGGGAAAAGCTTCATGTGTAATTAGTTATTTATGCATGTTATCTACCACCTCAGTTCAAATGGAGGGCAGGCAATTTCCAGAAATTAAAACAAACTTTCCATCAGTCAAACTCTTACATTCCAGGCCAAACTGCTTCTCCCTCCTAGTATCAGGCTTTCTCCAAAGTTCCTTTTCAGATGATACATCCAGAAATTTCTCCATTTTTGTAAACCCTCCCATGTCCCCTTCTAATACTACTTTTTCATCTTGGAAGTAGATCTGCTTGCTAGGAGATGACCAGCTCAGACCAATGCAGCAGCAATCCTGTATGGGAATCAATTTATTGAATCCAGTAGAGCTGATTTCTCAATAGATATGGACATTTGAGTAAGCTTATGTTTCACTGCCAGTAAAAAAAAAAGCCCTTTCAAAAATCATCTCCAGCTACATACATGTTCTACCAGTTCTCTACTTTACCTATCTTTGCCATCTTCTCCCCATATGTCATTCCTTGCAGCTTAAAAAACATCCAATCTCAAAGTCCACTAATTAAAAACCCAGCCTGCAACGAAAATGAAATAAAACACTTGAAACAAGGGAGAAAAAGGAGGAAGAAAAGAAATTGCAGTATAAGAAAAAAAAAGACAAATAGAGATTCTCAAAGTAGTTTTCTTCTTCACCCAAAGAGCAATAAATTCAGTTTATGTACTATCAGGGTGGAAGTCAGGACATAGCCCAAAGCTCAATGATTGCAAATAGAAAGTCTAAGTTCCGCCCCTGATATTTCTAGATCGGTTTTCTAAAGATCAGCAACAAGTGATATGAAGAATTCTCTACCTGACATCCTGAAGAGGTCTTGCTAGTCAGAGTTGACAAAACTGAACTAGATACATGCGATAATACCAGTAATGGTATCCTCTTTTCTTCACTACCGGTTCAGTAGCAGGAGTGTGCGTGCAGAAGATCCGTGATGATGTCTGGGTAGGTGGGCGGGGCCTCACGCCGCCACCACTACTGGTTTGCCCAAACCAGTGCAAACTGGCAGAATACCATCTCTGGATAATACCAGGTGGCTTCCTCTGAATGTATAAATTATTTTCTTGATCTATGAGGACAATTAAAATTTCAAATTAGTCTGAAAATCAAAAGACTCACAGGCTGCTGAACCATGAATTCACTTTGCATTTCTCTTTTCAGCATGAAAAATAAGAATGACAACCCAGACAGTTTTCCTTTTCAAGGAACTATTCAGATAGATACCAGCTTAAGGGAGCTGCCGGCAACAGAGCAAGAGCAAGCAAAAAGAACAAGATAATAATTTCCTTTGTTACTTAAGGTGGGCCCTGATAGTTCTGAGGATGCATTCTTCACTGATACATGCAACATGAGAACGCAGCTTTTATAAATAATTAAACAAGCTTATTTACTAGTAATAGGAACCTCTTAGAAAATGAGATGTGGTAACTTTCCAAAGCCCAAATCATCAGTCAGTCACAATTATGGCACAAATAATCCTGTCTTTAGTATTAAAATCCCACTCCACAAAGGAATATGGAAGCAGAGCAATAAGCTTTGAATCACACAGGAATGGCCTGGTGTGCTCCATATTGTCTGAAATTCAGTAGGACAAGTTCTACATCTGTGCTTGAACAATGGGCAAACTCTAAGTTTTTGAATTCTATACCAATAATTTTGAAGCTAACAGGGGACAACAGAAATCAATTTTACACACTTTCATGTATACAGAAATCTGTAAGGGGGGAAAACTCATTTGTTCTTCGTATACCATGGTCTGAGCAGCTGATCTTTTTCTGTCTGAAGAATTTTTTTATAAGTACAAGTCCCTTATTAGGAGATTTGAATTCCATACATTCATTTGTACGTTTATTAAATAATTTACTCATTTAATCATATAACATAACATGAATATGTAACATTAATTTTACTTACCGCAAAGGAGATGCATGCTTTGTCTGGGCTTTCTTCTTCTCCTTCTCCTTCTCCTTTGGTACATAACAGACATCTTTAATTTTTAAAACCTGAGAAAAAAAGCTCTTAAATCAAATTAAATACTGCACTTTTTAATTCAGGCACATATTCCTACAGTAACCATCAAGGAAGCCCAGAAGCAGGACAGGAGAAGCAATAGCCACCACCACCACCACCATTACGACCTTGAAATTGTTACTTTCAGATACACTGTCTTTGATCCTGGAGGAACACCACAGAACCAACTTTTTGCAGCGGGTAGCTTCTCTTTGTCCTAGAATGTTTATGTGTTTGTTCAAAGTCCATATCCATTTGACATACGTACAAACAATCAAAATCAATTTCTCTCTGGTCAACTGACAAAGACCCCAAAAGGTAGAGATAATGTTACAATGTCATTGTAGAAGTTGGGCTAGAATTTTTAAAATAAGGCCCTATTCCCCTTTTCTATTGTTTTTTAAATTAAATGAGCGGGATTAAAGGCTATCTGTCAGATCCCTAACACGATACTGTCATTCTTCTGGGGCAATGGATGAATTCGTCAGTTATTGCTTTCTTCCTTTCAACCTTTCACTTGTCCTAGCACCTAGCTGCCCTGGGATTTTCTCACCTTTTGCGGAATGTGTGGGGAGGGAGGGCCATGTGGTTCGTGTCATTCTGAAGCCTGCAGAAGATGACCCAGAGAACAAGCGCTTATCAAATTCTCAGGAAAGCAGTTACAATAACATCTCCACACCTGCAGATTGGCCAATCCACATGGACCTAAGGAAGTGGTTTCTAATTCCTTTATCCTAATTGTATGGCCTGAGGAAACCTCAGAATCTGCTTTCCTTTGTCCTGCTATCACTTCTGTTCAATAAAAGGTTCCTTCTGAAATGCTGAAGTTTCAAGGGTCTTCACTTTCTTGAGCAAGGAGGAGAGGCCGGACCTTACATATAAGTGGCTCAGCACATCCATTTTTTGTTCCTAAAAAAAAGTTGAAAATCACCTGGTTATTTTTTCTCAGCTTGAAACAAATTGAAATGGTACATTTTCTGGGAGAAAAAAACAGATGGCACAGCCCCCCCCCCCAATACTCATGGGCAGCAATGCGTTGGGACCAAGCTAGCCTTCTAGTTGCCTAACACCCATTAAAATCGTCCTAGCAGCTGACACTCATCTGCAGTAACAATAAACAAGCATGAAAGCACACTCCCATAAAGATTTCCTCCTTGGGGAAAGACCTGAGGGGGGGGGGGCTTCCAGTTACATCAATCATAGAAGGGAGGGGAGCGGGGACCCAGCAGTGCACTGTTTCTCAATCACAGCAAACTTTAATAAGAGTGGACTTCAATTCCCAGAATTCCTCTCTGTCTGGGGAATTCTGGGAATTGAAGTCCGTAGTCGTAAAGTTACCGAGGTTGAGAAACACCGCTTTAGCGGGATGAAAAGAGGCGCAGGTGGGCTTTTGCTCTGCAGTCCACGCTCACGCGTCTCCTTCGCTTCGCTCCCCACCAATGCTAATCGAAACACAGCAATGCTGTGCTAGGCGGGTCTTTCCTCTTTTTTTTTCTTTTACAATCACCCGAAAGAACGTATAATCTGGGCCAAATTGCGGCAAGATTCCTTCCGGCTGCGTGTGGTGGGCCGGGCAGCAAAAAAACGGAACCCCCTTTTCCACTTTATTGGATGAAGAATAGACCAAGTATTGTTATTTTTTTCCAAGCCAGCCTAACGCAGGCTCCTTCCACCCTAAAACCGGATAACTCCGAATTAACCGCACGGGAAGCCTCTGAGGGGGAACCGAGAGGGCGGCGCGACTCAATTACTCTTTTTACGTCGTGAGGCAACCGCCGAGGCTCGGCCCCTCGCTGGATCCGCCTCTTTCGGCGCTGGCCCCGCTGGGGAGGAGTTCTCATGGCAATGGGCGAGCCTCCGCGTCCAGAGGCACAAGGCAACCCGGCAGATGGGCGGCTACCCTCCTGCAGCCAAGGGGGACGGCGGTTCGGGCTTGTCAGCGTCCTCCGGAGGATGGGCAAGCTGGAGGGATTCTACGGGAGCAGCAGCGGCTCTGCCCCGGCCGCCGCTTTGGGATGCTGAGCCGCCGCGTCGTCAGCATGTAGGCAGCGCTGCAGGAAGTGCTTGAGAGTTCAGGCGAGAGAGCGGCTGGCCGAGAGAGTTCAAGCGGCTTTCCTTCGGGCGCGGCTCACGAGGGAAATCGGGCCGAGCAACCCCCTTCTTATTTCCCCCCCCCCTTCAGCCCGGGACTCAGCTGGCGCCTCAGCCGGAGCAGACGGCAGCCCGCGGCGCGGCGCCCACCCCAGCTTGCAAAGAGAGCGCCTCCTTCTGCGATGCCGACTTTAATATCTCTTAAAAGCAGCCGAGAGGCGTCGGTTTGCGTGAATGGGCGGGATTGATGCCCCTTTAATTAGGGTTTTCCAGCTCGGTCTTCCAAGTGACCGGTGACTTCCCACCCACCCCTTCCCATCCCCCCCACCCCTAGAAGGCTAAGAACCTACTACGGTTCAAAGATGTACACGTTTGTGGTGCGAGATGAAAACAGCAGCATCTATGCTGAAGTCTCTAAAATTCTCCTCTCCACTGGACAATGGAAGAGGCTCAAAAGAGATAATCCCAGATTCAACCTCATGTTGGGCGAGAGAAACAGGCTGCCTTTTGGGAGGCTGGGTAAGCAAGCCGCACGCGCGAAGCTGGGCACACCCGGCCGGTGGGGTGGGGGGCAACCTTTCTGCGGAGCTCGTCGGGAAGAAGGGGGTTCTTGGCTTTTCCCAAGTCCCGGCACCTCAACGGCCTCCAAAGACCCCACTGATCTGCATGCGACAGCCGAAGTTTGGAAGTGTTGGCTAGAGGGGTGCGGTAGGAAACGCCTGCCAAACCGGGGTCTGCAGATGTTAGCAATGGGGTGTTGTCTGCTGCAACATTAGGAGTGACTTTATCCTTAGCAAGCCAATGAGACTAGCTGGATGCCAGGTTGTGAAAAGGGGTGGATGGGTGTATCTGCTGGGGTTAGAAAATATTGCAGGGAAACACAAGTACTGAAATTTTTTTTTTTACATTTTCTTGTTTAAATCGGGGCAGAATCATCCGTTAAGTTAGCATTGCTATTGATATCTTTATTTTGCAACAATATATTCCCTCCCCTGGAAAAGAGATATCTAAAATCAAAATAAAATCACAGTAATGTAGTTTTTACAGCTTTTGTAATAATTGATTCTGCATTCAAATTGGCATGTCAGTGATTTTTTCCCCCAGTGTGAATACAACTTTACTGACTTCTTTTGCCATTTTAAAAAAATACCTTTTTTATTTTGCAATAATATTTTATGTTGCTCACCAATAGCAAACTATAGAACATGATTGTGTCAGATAACAGGCATCCAGTTCTCTGCCTTTTTCTTCAAGTTGATTTGAACTGGGTGTGGGGTATATTTAAATAGACTACAGACTGGATTTTCTATGAGGAGTGAATTTTAAAGACTGGATATATTTCTTGAAATGATTCATAATAAAGGCAGAGGGAAAAATCTCTAAGCATTACTAATTTCCGTAACCCGTTGAGAATATTACAGTATGCATAGACCCGGTGTTTTTAGTGTGTTTACTCAGAGTGCAGTCCCCATTCACTTGGGAGCAAGTGCCAGGAACCTCAAATGGGATTTAGCTTTGAGTAGATGCATGTAGTAATGTGCTACATGTCTCTGTTAGATTGTGACTGAGGCCAGGATTATGAATATAATGGATTTTTACAATGATTTTTATTCACGTGAATTGTGGAAATGTCTTTCCACCCTGGGGTAATCTTTGAAAAATACTAACATTCAATTAGAAAGCCATTAATGATTATAAATAAGCAACAGGTTTCTTTAACTTGGCATCTTTCAGTCTGATTCCCTGAATTCTCAGTCAGTATGGTATAAAACTTTGAACTGAATTGTTCAAAGTTATTGGTTCAGTTACTTGGATACTGATCCACTTTTCAGTGGAAGAAATTTGTAAAATCCATTTTTTTCCACTGAAAAGTGGATGAGCAATTCAGATCAAAGTTTTATGCCATACTGATTGAGAATTTAGGGAGTTGGACTGAAAGATGCCTCTTGCTATAATTTAAAAGAAGAAGCTTATTTTCAAGTGGGCTGTTTTAAAATTCAGTTCATGGACTCTGCATTAGTCTTTCAAAAGCGAAGAAGAATGGCTTCCTTTTATATAGCGGCTTCTTATATTATTGTGATGTTAGAGAGTCCCAACAATCATTCCATTTATTGTTATACAGGTTTCACTGGCATCAGAAGGAGACAGAGTCATCCAGGCCTCTGGATGGCCTTGGTTGCACTCACAAACTGAGTAGTATTGAACTTAATTAGAACTTAGGTGGGCACTTCTAGAGAATTCTAGGGCTATAGAGTAGACTGAAGTTGTCAAGCCCATCCTCCACACCCCACACCCCCCGACAGTGGCAAATTACCATTATACTCCTGCCAAGAAGATGACTTGGTTATTCCACATAGACACAAGGAATTGAGCTCAACCTGAAAGGCTTTGCTTTTACATTTATAGGTATGGTTAATCTGGAGGTCCCATTGGATTTAATCCAAGAATAATGGCAATTGCTAAGAGAGGGCTGGGCTCTCCACTGATTTTTTTTAAGAGGTTGGAGAGTTATCTGTTAGGAGATGCTTTAATTTGGATTCTTGCATGGAGTAGCAGATTGGACCTGAGGTCATAATTGGCTTCTTTTAATTCTACAGTGGTGTGACTTGCTGAATGTGGGAAATGACCTGGAATGACTGGAGCAGGAGGACCAAATCCTATAATTATGTTTAGCTAAGGATATTTATTACCACTGAAGGTAATAGCATAGCCATCTCCAATTAAACACTAGAACAAATTTGTCCCTTTTTGATTCTCCAACCTTCTCCAAGTTTGTATCCTCCTAATGTGTGAATTGACTACAACTCCATTCTTGCTCACAGATAATGATGTAGCCTCACAACATTTCAAGAGCACAAGTTTGAGAAAGCATGCTCCAGAGGGTGAGCTCTGAACCAATAGACTAATGTTTTAAAAAGGCTAACAAAATATGTAACTAAAAGTAAAAAGTGTAAAAGTGCTTTGTACACTGAAAGTGTAACTAAAACCAACCTATTTTAGTCTGTAATAATAAGAGGTGAGGGAGCTCATGTTTTTGAGGCTGTGGAAAAAAATAGAAGAGAAAGCAAAATACTGCAATAACCAGTATAAAAGTAATGAATCACACCCAAACTCCTGCCTAAAGCAAGAGAGAAAGAATTGTGGTACCTCAAGGACTAACAGACCTCTAGAACTGCTTTTCACTCTTAGTTCCTGAAAAATGGTTCATTACATTTGAGTTAGAAAGATATAACTGATTTACATGCAACTTACAGATTTCTATTCAATATAGACATACCTTTTTTTTCCCAAACACTATTTTTGTGGAGGGTATTTAGAGTGGTTTAACACTTAATATTTCTCTGACAAAAAATAGGTCTCCTTTGAATTTTCTAGTAAAACAGAACATTCAGAACAAATGTGTGGTCATAACATTGCAGCTGTGATTTTTATGCTGAACTGGATCCTGCTTAAACCAAACAAGAGCTTATGACCCATTTATTAAAAGAAGGGGCAGAATCATTGAAATTGCCTTGGGGTATTGTGTTCATATGAGATTTCTGCTCCCTGGACTGCACCTCCTTTCACAAAAGTATCTACTTCGTGATTTACATCTGCTGCAAATCTTAGCCATGATTTCAAAAAGAATTGACAATACCTTTGCTCCTATTTTTGAAGTTGGAATGAAATAAACAGGTAATTGGACTCTACCGCCCTAAAAGTCAGCCTCCCTGTCTCCCCTGGCCAGTACATTGCCTGGAAGTACAAGAATTAGAGTCCAATACATCTGGAGGACATCCGTTAGGAATCAGCCACTAAGTGATGCTGGCAGTTGCTTAATTTAAAATAGGATGAGTGTTCCAGCAAATGCCAGGGTGTATAATGTCATAAACATTCTGACTCTATAACAGATTATGTGCTTTATTGTGCTGAAGGCCACTATTCAGGGTATGAGTAAGCAAAGTAAAAAGTTTAATGTAAAGAAAAATATGCTTGTTTAAGAGAAGTATTCATTATGCATGATTAAATTTAGCTGCCGTTACCAAGTTGTAAATCACCTTTTCAGCAGAAGGCAAAATCCTGTGGTACATTTATTCAGGAGACTATAAATGTTGGTGTGGTTCAGAGGTGAGTTGCTGCTGGCATTACTACTGGTTCGTAACCTGCATGCAACATGCGTGCATGCACTGTTCAATGTATATTGTTCTGCGCACATGCAGTCATTCAATTCCAAAATGCCGGTGGCCAAGTGGCAGCAAGGGAACCAGTTCAGGGGCATGGCAGGCCTGGATTGCTGCTGGTTCTGCAACCCAGGGCTAAATTCCACTACTGGTTCAGCTGAACCGGCAGCAACCCATCTCTGGTGTGGTTCCTTTATCAGACACCTGATGTCTTTCAGTCCTATGGCTGAAACTGGAACAACTACAATTTCTGTGCCAAGAGGGGTATCTGTGTTACTGTGGCAATAAATTTTGTTTTCTTTCCTCCTCTGATAGGTATCAATATGTTGTTAATAATACCAAGGTTGGGAATGGATGGATATTAGGAAATTGTTTGATTTCTCTTTTCAATGCAACAGTCCTGTCAGCAAGGAATTAGTTTGGCTGAACTATCCAGTGTCTGGTTACATTTTGTTTCTTCCCCAAATTCTGCCTCTATGTTAAAAACAAAACCTGGGAATAATTGGCTCAGAATCCCTCACTAGCAAAGGAATTAATAGGCTCCCTGATATTAAAGAAACTATTATACTGGCAGTGACTTCTAGTTCAGGTTGTATTTGCTACTTTTGACCTAGGTTTCTCTTGATTTCGAGAGTAAAGTGATTTGATTAATCTTGCTTAAGGGATAACAAGGGACTGGCGTCTATTAAAATCATAATAATGATTTTAACATTTTACATAATATGTGTAATGTTCTGGATTTGTAGCAGAAATATGTGAATATGGTACAGTTTGGTAACTCCTTAAACCAAATATGACTTTTTCTGGGATCACATCACAGCTCTGGGGGGCTGAAAACAGACAACTCTCATCCTGGCAAATGGATGCTTTGAGGAGTTACCAACTCCTGTGAAAGCAGCTTTGTGGACTACCAAGCCCTAATATTGATACTTTATAACCACCTAACCCAATATGCTGCTCCACGTGTTTTAGAGTTGCGGTTCCCAGAATTCCTAGCCAGCATAGCTAAGTCTAACCTTTTGTAAGGCTAATGTTCCAACCTATTTTGGAAAAGCTTGCCCATGTTGGTTTTGACAAATCAAGGGATGATATATTGAGTTTCTTTTATCCCATATGAAACTTGAACATTTTTTTTTGATAAACTGAAGAAGGCATGGAAAAGTAATGACATTATTAAAAGCAAAATCTGAGCAGCTTGCCAGAAGAATTGAGATCAAAGCAATTAGAACTGAGGATTGAGTAACATGAGTCAGCAGTGAGAGAGGTCTGTTTAAAAGACTAATGGATTGCATTAGCAGAAGCTTTTTGTCCATCGGCAGGGAGAAAGTGACAAAATTATATTATGAGATCATGATACAAACCTTGCAATTTATATACTTGTCTCCAGTGTTGAGACACATATAAAAGGATAGAAACTGTGTCCTGACGTTGCATGGCTGTCATCTTTTTTTTATATAATTGTGGTTATTTGTCTCTGTTCATGCCCACCTGTCAAGAATGGTACTGGACTTACTAGTCTTTGAATAAGGGCTCAGATGATGATGCAATTTGTCCAGGTTTGGAAACTTTGGGGCATTCCACACAGTTTCAAACAAAGAGTATAAGTGCTGCATGGTATCCTTAGGTAATGGAGATGAAGGATATTTATGGTAGGGAAGGGAAGTTTGGGTTGCAGAGAAGATAAGATAAGACTGTCTTTTAAAAAGAAAACAAGGAGCTATAGTATTGCAAAAATGAATTATAGCCTCCAAAATTGAGAACCTAGAAGACAATAAATAACAATCTGAAAAAAAATAACAATATTTGGGGATTTTTGGAATGACAAGCAAAATATTTAGACTGCAATAATTTATTTCCTTTCCTTTAATTTAAGAAAAAGATCAATAGGTGTGGTTTTCCTGCCTTAATTGACAAAGTCTCAGTGTCTAAAATTTAAGTTCATCAGAACTGATTAAGAAAATAGAATAAAAGCTTTCTGGCAAGAATATGATGTATTCTTTTGAAGAGCATGAAGCTTCAGTGTCAATTATGTATCCGTGGTCTTAGGCTTTTTCCATATTCACATTTTTTAGAAAAAGAAGAAAAACAAGAAAAATCAGAAAACATTCTATTGTTTTACATATTATATTGAATCTCAATTTTTGATTTATTACTGTTGTCAGTTTTGGGATTTGAGGCTTTAAATTTATCCTTTCAATACACTTCTGATTCTTGAAAAAGCTCCTTGATTCTTTTACATATTATCTGTATATGGGAACCGTAATGTTCTAATTCAATAGTTAATGTTACTACAAAGTAATAGACAATATGGAGGAAGGAATAAAGGGGAGTAAAGTACAGAAATCTTGTCTTACTGCATTCATTTTTCCCCAAAAAAATATTCAAATGTTTTAATGTTTCCATTTTTTTCTGGAAAAAAATCCAAAGGTTATGTTTCTCTCCATCCCCGTTTCTCTGATTATATTTTCCTTTTACTCCAATTTTAAGTTTTTAGCAAGATTACACCCTCTATATATAGTTTGGCAGGTTCCTCTGAAATTCTGTAGCCCTCACATTTTATTTTTTCCTTAACCATTTCTTTTGGTTTATGCTGGGTTACTATATTAATGCTTCTATTACATCTAGTGCAGCAGAATCCTTTCACTGATCAAAAGTGTTAGGATAACTACTGGACTTAATGAATTATATTTTTCCATTTTGTTTAAGCATCATCTCTTTTATTCTCAATCGCCATTGTTTCCATTCCAAGAAAAGTTTTTGCTTCCTGGTCCTCTAGTATTTTGGGGATGGGAGGAATGGAATCCCTCTTCACTTCTCTTTATTAACTGCGGCAATACTTGCTAAGTACATTTGACAAAGGAATCTAAACATCAGAATATTTCCCTAATCTTGTCAAATTCTTCAAGCAGCCCCACCAAAATAAAGGTGGGCAAGCCTGAATCTAGTTAAACCTTGATGTGGAATTAGATAGCTGACAATATTCTTTCACTGTTTAGATAGTATTATTTATTAGCCCACGCATAGTTATGGTGAGAGTTCTTAATCATCTTCCAACAATATGTATTTAAATCAAATATATGCAAGATATACAAGTTGCTTATGTCAAAAATTCTGCAGTAAACAACTTTTTGTTTTTAAGAAAGTGGGGGTTAATAATGGTGTCATCTATATTAATGGTTATTTATATTTGTTTAAAAACATTTCTAGAATGCAAACAACATGGATATTAACACTCCCTTTTCATAGGTCATGAACCTGGACTTACACAGTTGGTGAACTACTACAGAGGAGCTGATAAACTTTGTCGAAAAGCTTCTTTAGTGAGGTAAGATATTGTTGCTTGCTTGTTTACATGTAATAGTGGGGTCCATGCTGCCTTTTGTCAATCTCCTGAAGTTGCGCCGATTTGAACGTGGGATGCTCAGCTTGTTACTGGTTAATCACTGCAACTGTTTTAGATATGAAAAAGAGCAATTTGCATTCCAAATGTTTATCAAAAAAGAAAAGAAAAAAGAAAAATGTGAATACAAATGAGCAGTCAAAGCCGATATGTTATTTATCTGTAAAAATAAAGAGGTTGTGGGTCTTAATGCATGGCCATTCAGCGTAAATGTAGATAAAATTAATTCAGTATTATGCTCTCCGTCTTAGTAAAAGGGTTGTAGACATTGGATTTCAGGAGGGCAACCCATTTGTGCTTGCTGTGCGGCTGCTTTGTTACTCTGTGTGTAGTTAGGTTTATTTAAATGTCTGGTTGCCTTTTGGGGAACAAATCCCTTGGAATTCTCCTCTTGGTTACCTTCTCAGTGCTGCCATTGACGGTCAATTAATTTCAAATACAGGAAATTTGCTGCTGCCTTGTGACTTCAAACTGGCATTGCCTCATTTTCAGATATGGATGCTCAATAATTATTTTCAGGTCACAGATCTTGGGAACTGGAATGATTTTTGAATGCAATTGATAACCTTCTGTTCATTTTCCTTAATAGCAACAAAGCAAATACTTTTCTTGAAGGGTAGAGCCTTCTTTCAATTTTTAAGGCTATGAAAAGCCAAGTATATATATATATATATATATATTAAAAATCAATAAATAAAATGACTAGAGGTATTACTTTATAATTCTTCTAGAATTGTGCTGCTTGGCTAAAAATTGCATGACAGGCCACTCTCTTTCAGTGAAAAAGAGTGCTAGAGGGCATGTTTTAATGGATAATACACATTTGGATTATATGTGACCTTTATGCTCTGTTGATTTACATATACTAATAAGCCTTAAGGATATGAAATCCATTAAGTTCTGGTTGGCATTTGTAATCTCTGACCTTTCTTGAAACATAAAATAAAATGTTTGTGGGCTTTGCCAAATGTGTTATTGTGTTTTAGGATTCATTTAAAATCTTGCAAAATGTGTAACCGGTTTTTAGACATTTTAACTGGCACAGCAAGAATATACTTTTTCCTTAAACCGTTGGTAAATTTGATTCCAAATCTGTCTTTTCCAACCAATTATTTGTAGAATATTTGTTGCTCTCCAAGTAAATCTGTCTGCTCCATTAATCCATTAAAAACATTCTTAAATTCCTATTCAGCTTTATGGTGTTTTTTATATTAAGTTACTAGTTAGCTTTTCTTCTATTCTGAGTTGAAGTTTTACTCACTACCTATTCACCAGGTAGTTTTTCAAATTGTTGTTTGGAAGACCTCTTAACTGTAAAATAATTGTAAATCCTAGGGTGATTAGAAAACAAGGTCGAGTGTCCTTAAAAGCTCTATCGTACAGTATATATGTGACTATACGAAATGAAAATGGAAAATAAAAACACATTTACCAAAAAAAAAAAAAAAGCTCTATCGTTGTTAAGAGCATCGTATAAATTAATTTTGAAGGAACCAGGTTAATCTCCAAAACAGAATATTTCAACAAGAGAATAATTATGGAAGCTATCGAAATAGAGAAACACCCCCACAACATGAATAAGCATGACAATACCTCCCACCTACCAGATATCTGGAAACCAGCCCTAGTCAACAAATAATCCCCACCCACCACCCAGGCCGTTACAACACGAAACAACAATAGACACACAGCCAGCACCAATCAGCATCAATCTACCAATCATGATACAACCACACAACCAATCATTCCACTTACTGAAACAAAGCCAGCACTCCTCCCCCACCCATCAAGATTCATAGATAGACGGCAGCTCCGATCACACTTAAAGCCTAAAACCCAGCCTGAAGATGGCGAGTGAGACCTCGCTGAAATGTTGCT